GTTACCTGAATGTCAAATTGTTTCCTCATATTTGGGAAGTTTTCTGCTGTTACTTCTGTCCATATTTTTTAAATGTCCTTTTTATTGACTCCTTCTTTGTCATTGATACCTGTTAGTCTCACATTGTTCATCTTTGCATTGTCTTACAAGTGATGAATTATTTTTTCCTGCATCCTAGTTGTTTTTAAGAGATCCTTTCTTACCTTTTCACTAGCTGCACCAGCATCTTCACTTTCACTTAAACGGTTTTGCAAGCTTGTGATTGAGATTCTAAATTCCTCTATATCTCTTTGACTCTGCTTCATGTGATCTATTTCTTTCCTGTATTGCTCATTAACCCATCATTTTTCTAATCTCCTCTATTTTTTTATCAATGTCTTCTTTAGAAGCAGTTATTAATTCTTTTACTGCAGTGTTTTTTTTTTCAAATTTGGTTTCCTCCCTATGATTCTGTAGTTGATTCTTTGCTTCAGATGCTATAAGTTCTAAGAATTCTTTTCTTATTTCAGAAAATTCTGCTCTGAGTTCCTCTATAACTTTCTGCTGTTGCTTATTTACTATCGATGCTATTAATTCATACATTTGAACTGAGCTAGTAGAAAAGAATTCTGCTCTGAGTTCCACTATGACTTTCTGCTGTTGCTTCTTTACTATGAACGCTATTAATTCATACATTTGAGCTGAGCTAGTGTTCTCTGCACTTGTTCTGGGTGGGCATTGGGTTTCCTCCATATGTTTCTGCATTTGATTCTTTACTGCAGATATTATTAATTCAGGGATTTCTTTTTTCATTTCCAATCTGAGTTCCTCTATACCTTTCTGCAGCTGTTTCTTTATTTCAGAAGTCGTTGATTCATTGCTTTCAGCTGTGTGATTCCCAATTTGTTCTGTGTTAGTGTCCTCTGCATTTGTTATGGGTAGACTTCAGTTCTGAGATTGCATTTTGCTGCTCTCATTGTCATTTTGTGTAGCACTGTCTTCTGACCTTTGTTGTAGATCTTTGTTGCAGTTATAATCTTAGCACGTACTGAAGTTCAGGTGCAGATCTACAAAGTTTGGATTTATCCAGTTGTGCCTGGCTTGGGTCTGGCTGCTCTGCTCAGCTCCTTCCTGCTACTGCCCTTGGGGGTGAACCTGTTGTGCCCCTCTGGCGAGATGTTCTGCTCCTGGACTAGCTGGGTGGTTCTGTCCCCTACTCTCTCTGCAGAGATTGTAGCTGCATGGTTTCACCCCCGGTCTGTATCCCAGGCCTGATTTGAGTCTGGAGGGGACAAGGTGGAGTAGCGGGGAGAAGCAGCTCTCCCACACACTCAACTGGCCTGGGCTAGGACTGGATCTGGGAGTTCCCGGAACGTGACAGAAATTCCTACTTGATAGGTGGGGTGGGGGAGGTGCTGTGGACTGGTGAGGGGCATCCCAATGGGGTGGAAGAGGGTATCACCCATGCTGCTCCTGGGCTGGGACCAGTAGGTCCTGCCAGTGTAGGGTAGCCGGAAACTCTCCCACACACTCTGCTTCTTTCTTCTAAGAGCCATTGTGATTACATTGGACCCACCTAGGTAGTACAAGCTAATCTCCCCACTCCAAGACCCTAATCACATCTGAAAGTCCCTTTCATTGGGAAAGGTGACATAGTCACAGGCCCCCAGGCATTCAGGCATGAACAGTTTTGTGGATTTATTTTTCTGTCCATCATAGTAAAGGCAAAGTTTAAAATAAATTCAAAAAAGTGCAAAAACTGAACAAAAAGCAAGCTCTTGGAAGCAGGATGAAGCATAGTCTACTCAAATTTTGAGTTAATCACAAGGCCAACTAATTTAAAGTCACTCCTTGCATGCATAAGTAAAGGCAATACACAAGAAGCCTTAGGAAGAAGAAAAGAGGATGACAAATAGACTGTGCAAATAAAATCATTGTTTTTGATGAGGAAATGAAAATAAATGGGACAGAAACAATAACAGAAGAAAATTTTTCCTGAGCCAAAGATGCGTCCTTATGTTAAGAAACTCATGAGGTATTAAAAAGGAAATAATAAAGAAACCAATGCTCAATGCTCAACAAATCTCAAGCTTTTTAAAAAATTTTTCAAATACAGCCAGATTAGACATCCAGGCTGAAGGACGTGTCTCATCCCCTCAGCACAAGCTGTGACACCCATGTGAAATGCTGTCTACCAGGAAGCTTACCAGAGACTCTGTGCCTGTGGCTGCTCCTAGGAAGGGTGTGTGGGTTACGTGGGTGGGCACCATATGCTAGGTGTCACAAACTCCAGAGTCCCAGGAGAAAACCAGCATCCATGATAAAGCACAAGTTTACAGGAACAGCTACTCTTACCAGTTCTAGAGAGGTGGGAAATCCACACCCCCAGACCCTAGCTAAAAGCCTGCCAGACAAACAAGCAATCTCTGGCTGCTATTGTTTACTCCTTTCCCCAAGCCTCCTATAGCCTGAGCTTTATAAATTGCTGCGAGGTTTTTCCTCTGCCTTTCCCCTCCTGTGGCAATGCATCATAATGTGAGATAGTAAAAAGAACTTCACTATGGAGATGCTACTGGGTCAACTCAAAGCAACTTTTAAGTAAAGGCACATGAAAACGTTGTTTTTCACACACACACACACACACACACACACACACACTGGTTAAAAATTATTTAAGCATATTACAATTTATACCACGGTTGAAAATCGCTGATTCAGAGTATCTTCATCTTAGTTTGTTTCACTTGTATATAAATGTGAATAATTTTATTTAGAAGATACTTTAATAATAGGAAAGTTTTTAAAATTATATTCCCTGACAATACCATAAACATATTTTCCAATAAATAGCTATTTAAATGACCCCACAAAAATTATCCACCATTATCTTATCTCTGTGTCTATCTGTCTATCTCTCTCTCAGTAGTATAAGACCAAATGTCTTCAATTAAATAAAAACAGTTCAGATTGTGAGTGTCATGCTCTGCCAGACAGCAGGGATTCTCAAAGCTCTCCTCACGGATAGGCACCACACATCATGGAAGCCTCGTTGTTTTTGTTTTGTTTTGCTTTTCTTTCCATCCCTTCTGTACTCTTTGCTCTTTTAACCCTCCCCTTTCTACTTAATTCTCCTATTCAGTGAAGTACATATTTATTGTGAAACCTCAGGTCCTGTTTTGCATAGGGCTCTACTTTATAGAGGAAATTGACACCTCAGACCTATCAGCTTTCCTAAGCCAGGTTTTCTCCAAGTGCCCACCCTTCTCAGCGGTGCCCAGCGCCTCACCCCAACCACTTCCTGCCCTTCCTGAGGCACAGCAGATATCCAGCCCAGCAGGGGTCAATGGTCCTCTCAGTGGTCCAAAGTGTAGCAACCATAGTGACAGTCAGACTGATTTGTTACAAAAGTTACTCACCAAAATACAATGTACTAAGTGCCAACAAATGTTCCATATTGCACACATAATGGGTATATTTGCAATGAAGTGGAAACTGACACAAAGGCCTAATGTGTTTAGCCTTCTAGTACAAACTTAAATAGAAATATCCTTTCACTTACAGATTTCCAGGCCATGGGGCTGAAGAAAGGAATGTTTTTCAACCCAGACCCATATCTGAAGATTTCCATCCAGCCCGGGAAGCACAGCATCTTCCCTGCCCTCCCTCATCACGGGCAGGAGAGGAGATCCAAGATCATAGGCAACACCGTGAACCCCATCTGGCAGGCTGAGGTGAGTGCCAGGGCCCTAGAGAGAAGCCCGAGGAATGACACAAAAAGACCAACATTTACCCCTCCTCGGGTTTCTGTCATGGAGCCGCAGGCTCTATGGATCTTGGTCTTTAGAGCTGTGTTCTCACCAGGTTGCTCTTCGCATTTCTGAGGGATCAGGATACACTCCTTCTGGACAACACTGGGAAACTCCTTTGCAGCTACTTTGAGTTAATGCTTTGTTCTACAGCCAGGAAGAGCAGCGTGGTGGTCTGAGCGTTCCAGTTCCCCCACAGTCATCCCCATGCTCATGGTCCTGAAACAAGGGTACCAAACTGTAAACATGGCCCTGTGCACCAGGTCTAGAGTGTCTAGGATCATCAGCTTCCTGGAGCTGATAAACAAATAGGCCCTGGAAAAATCTTCATTGAGTTCCATACAGGCTGGCTGTTTATCTCATTTTTTGGCAGGGCCCAGCAGCTTGTTAGTTGTGAATTGGTTGTTTGGGCTTATGAAAGCCCTTCTCCATTCCTGAATGCGTCTCCTCTTCCTGTGGAGTCAGGAAGTGTCCCTCAACAAAGTACACATCAGGTTCAACCTCACAGTCCTATTCTAGAGAACATGCATAAGGTTGTCACAAGCCACTCGCTGCCCTGCCCACGGGCTTCACTTGAAGACACAGCCTGCAGACTGTGGCTGGAGGGGCTGGGCAGTTGAGGGCCTGAGAGCAGCTGCAGGGCCTAAAAGCACAACTTTGTAGTCACACAACTCTGGATTCAAATTCCAGCTAGCCACAAAATAGGTGTCACAAATTTAGGAGATCAGCTATCCTGGGTTAGAGCTTCAGATTATCTTCAGCCGCTAAGGCTGCATGGGGAGGTGTGCTCCCACCAACCCACTGGCTTTAGACAGTACTCCTTCTTTTATTATTCAGAAAGGATCAGCGCTGGGATATTTGGGAGCAGAGTTGCTTCGTTACTTCTTGGATTATGCCACCTCCCTTCTAAGCTTAACTATACCTTTTCTGGGCTTCACAGAAGCTCTAAGAGAGCTTTGAGGTGGGCAGAGGAGAATTAAAGTTGGGTTAAAACCTCCTGCCAGCTCTGGTCACTAATAGACACTAGGCATGGATAATATTGCTATCAGGAAATAATGAATTTTAAAATCCTAGGAACTTCAGTACTGATGAGATAAATATAAGACGCTATAGGAACTAGAGTATTTATAAAAATAAACAAAAATTCAGCAACTTATTTTAAACACTTAGTCATAAAGTTATTATAAGTCTTAGAAAGCATGTGAGAAATCTACACCTTTATTAGAATCCACTTCTAGCATCCTTGGTTATTTCCACATCATTGTTAAGATTGATTTTGCCTTGCCCAGATTCTGACAAACATTTTATCCTTTTGTGGACTTGTCTATTCTCTCCAAAGCGCTGTTGTCGAAGTGATAGTTTTGACACCACATTTGTCCTGGATGAGGCTATGAATCAGAAACAACTTACAATTGTTTTCCTAAGCTAATTAAAGAACATGATCCCAGTTTGGTGTGACTACAAAGTTGTATTTTTAGCACCTAAATTATACTACAATTCTTAGCTAAAGTCAAAAACATCCAGACTTCCCAAAGGATGTACAGGTAGACTTGGTCTTGACAGGGGACCCTTTCAGGTTGAGAGGAGGGATATCAGGCAGAAAAAGCAGCCCATGCAAAGGTACTGGGGAATCTTGCAAATAGGATGGGCTCAGCTTATTACAATTGCATGTTTACCTGGCTTCCTCATTTCACGTTGGCTCAGGGTCTCACATCACACTTTGGGAAAGGCAATGATTCCCTCCCCCTTACAGAGTTCACACAAGTCTTTAAGTTTCTCTGCAAGAAGGTTAAATGGGCCCCATAGCACCCTGCTTTCTGTTTACTGACTAACCTAAAGGATATTCACTGAGAAAACACTAATGTCCTCTGTAAAGCTTACTATGTAATTTAAATGCCTAATTTATTGCAATAGTTCATATGGCATCAGTCTTATGTAATTTTTTTTCAAATGGATGTAAGCTCAAGTTTGAAACATACCTTTTGCTAATTACAAAATTCAGTCATAGAAACATTAAAGATCGTATCAGAGTTTTAAAATGAGAAGGGAAAATTAAGAGAAATACAGAATAAATTTAATGCTCACAAACTAAAATAAAGAACTTCCATGTTATTTAATCAATCTCCTCTACTTCATTACTTCTGTAATTAGAAACTATTTTCACCCAAGGAATAGTCTCCTTGATTTTCATATCTGTTTACTTTCCTAGATGGATATAATGAGCACTTATAAGACTATAGTTGCACAAAGAAGCCAAACAGAAACAGCAGCAAGTAAAGAGGCTTGCCTTCTATATTTGGAACACCCCTGTAGAGAGTGCTTCTAGACCTGAAAATAAAACACGGAACTCCTAAAAGGAGATTCTTAGAAAATATCAAGTGGATTAAGCTAATAGTAAACTGTAGGCGGGAGCCATGGTGTTTGTTAATCTCTCCCTCACTCCCTCAGCTTCTGCCTTCCAAAGATAGGCACCTAGAGCTTCAGGCATGTGTAAATGGTGGTATATGCCTGTAATTCAAGTGTGATGGGAGGCTCAGACAGGAGAATTGTAAGTTCAAGCCCAGCCTAGGCAGTTGGGTGGTTTATCAAAACTCTTTCTCAAAAAAAAAAAAAAAAAAAAAAAAAAAAAAAGCTTACAAGGACATGTTAAAAACTAATAGAATAATTAAGTGTAAATTCGGCCAGGGATGGAACTCAATGTGAAGGCTGTGGATTCAATCCCCAGTACAGAGGGAGAAAACATTAGATAGACAGGGCCTTGCTCATAGAGTTTATTTTTAATGAGCTAGCAGCCACACGTGCAGACTGGCTAGAGCTGAGCTGCAGCTGTGAGGGCTGTGGACCATAAGCTTGGTGCCCTGTAGCAAGCAGGAAGGTCACTGTGGCTGGAGGCCCAGGACTGGGAGAGGGGCTGGCTGAATTGCAGAGACCCAGGGGCCAGCACCTGGTCAGCCATGCAGACCAGTTGGGATTTAATTCTAAGTGTGGTGTGAAGCCATTAGAGTATTTCTAATAGAGAAGCAGCTTGCTCTGATTAAAAGTTTACAAAATCCTTCCTCCTGCTCGGAGTGAGGTGGATTTTAGCAAGTCAAGAACGGAAGCAGAAGCAGCCAAGTGCAAATACAGGAGGATCACTGCAAGTTCAAAGCCAGCCTGGGCCATAACAGTGAGGCCCTGTCTCAAAGAAAAACAAACAAAAAGAAAAACGGAAGCAAAAGTTTCTACTTCTGGCTAGAACAGAGAGCTCCACAGGGTGCACTCACTTAAAAGCAGCTGCTAAAGCTGAACAGAAGACCACAACAGAGCATATGTGAACACTCAGAAACAAATCCATCACACAGAACTCATGAGGTCCAGATCCCCAAAGGAAAGGGATTTCAGGTGAGCCAGCTGCCTGCAGCTGCTTCTTGAAAGAGGACCACAAAGGCAGGCAGAAAGCTGCTGGGGATCAAAACAGGGTCCGCTAGAGAAGATTCAGAACCAGAAAGTCTGGATTCTCCCAGGGGGACAGAACCTAACAGTGCCCGGGGTCTCAGCAGTGCCCTGGCTCACTGCAGTGAGATGACAGCCTGTAGCGAGACAGTGATACACACAGCTTAGCCAGCTCCGATTAGTTACAGTTATTTAACTCCAGCCACTGCAGTCTCCTGGATGATTCTCCACCTCCATTATCAGAGATGGATTCTGATACTGTTACATATTGTAACTCTTTTGTTCAATGGTTTACTTCCATTTGTTAAGGCATAAGAATCCATATTTTGCACATGAAATATTAGTCAAATGAGAAATTCTATAGACTATAAAAAACTGGGAACTTTTGCTAAAGATGTGTTTCTATTCTGTTTGCAAACTAAGGGAACTACTTTAAACATTTTTATGAGGTTAACGTATTTTCTTTTTTTAATTAATTAAGATCATTGGTACATTTTAGGTATACATAATGATCACATTCATATAGGGAGCTGGTACCTATAGTTCATATATCATGATTCTTTTTGTTGTCCCATTCTCTTACCCTCCCTTCAATCCCTCTTCCTCTTCCCATTTACAAAAGCTTAATTTTCATTTTTTTCATCTTTTCTCCAAAGGAAGAAAAAAGAAAAAATTAATCTTGAGAAGCTAAACATAAACAATGAAGAGAAAACTTTTAAATGCTCAACTTTCTTGAAAGAGAAGCAAAAAAACCAAAAAAAAACCTTTCTCAAAAATCTATAAGTCGGGCTGGTCAGATAGCTCAGTGGACTAAAGCACCTGCTTAGGCAGGCACAGAGATCCAGGTTCCATTCCCTGTGTGCTATGCAGGCCCCGGCCCCAGAGCACACTGAGCCAGTGATTGAGACTGGGTGTGGTGGCACGTACCTGTAATCCCCAGTGCTTAGGAGGCTGAAAACAGGAGGATCACTATGAGTCTGATCTGTGTAATGAGACCCTGTAGACCTTGTACTAAATACATTTTTTAAAAAATCTATAGAGCAATAAAGGAATCAAAATAAAAACTAAAACAATTTTTAAATAAATAATAGTAAATAAATGAGGAATTTACCTTTGCAGAAGCAACTAACTTAGAACAGAAAGGCCAAAAATCAGTGACTTGAGTTTCCATATAAGTAAGCAATAAAATTCACAGGGGCCAGGGAGATGGCTCAGTAGAATAAGTGCTTCCCTGTTAAGCGCAAGGGCCTGAGTTCAATCCCCGGTTCTGCAAAAAAAATAAAATAAAATAAAATTCACAGCAAATCAAATGTTAAGCAAGTGAGTTACAGATGATAAATACAGGAAAATCAGCAAATTCAAAAACATTGAGAATTAAAAATAAAATGTTATAATTTTACATATATTAAAAACATAAACAGAGAACATTATGAACAGATTCATACCAAAACATTTGAAAAAGTAGGTGAAATGGAAAACCTCTTATTAAACTG